GTGACCGTTTGGTGCATGAATTGATGCTCAACCACTGAATGAACCACACTGGCCACTCCTATATCTTCTTTTTAAAAAATACCTTTTATTTTTAAATTACAGTTGATGTACAAGATTGTATTAGTTTCAGGTGTACAACTCTGTGATTAGACATTCATATAACTTATACAGTGATTGCCCCATCTAGTACCATGCGACATCACATGTAGTTGTTACAATATCATTGACTGTATTCCCTCTAATTTTCCTCCCCATGACCACACTGTAAGGACCATGTTGTATTTCCTCCTCCTTCACCTCCTTTACCCGGTCCCTCCCCACTGCCCTCCGGCAGCCAGCAGCCTGCTCTCTGTGTCTCTGAGTCTGTTTCTGTTGTAGGATTGTGTTTGGCTTGATTCCAGGCAGCTCTGAATGCTGGTTTTTCTGGAGTGTAGCTGTAATTTTTATGTGATTGTGGTGCGATGTGAGTATTGCATTTACCCTCACCACAATCTTTACCAGAATCCATTTTTAAAATATCGATTGAAGGATGAGGTTTTAGAAAAGATAATAATTTAAAATCCTTCAGCCATGTTGTGTTTTTTCTTATTTTTTTGTTTTTATTGATTTCAGACATAGATTTCAGAGAGGGAGAGAGAGAGAAAAAAACATCAATGATGAGAGAATCATTAATCAGCTGCCTCCTGCACAACTCCTACTGGGGAATCCAGCCTGCAACCCAGGCATATGCCCTGACCTTATGGTTCATAGGTTGACCCTTAAAGACAGAGCCATGACATCTGGGCTCAACCCTGTCATTTTAAAGCAAAACTGGTTTTGTTCTCTGTCTGTCTGTCTGTCTTCTCTCTGCAGGTCAGTGCTGGGGAAGAGGAACGACTATGGAGGTCAGATGTCAGCCCATTCGTGCTGAGCTTGGACTCAGCGCCCATGTCAGCAGAGTGAAAAGGCAATGGTGTCCTTCATCTCCTGCAAATAGTGTTGACTCCCCCTCCCCCACATCCTGGGAAAGGCTTTTAGATACTTCAGGGGTTCCACAGACCGCACTTAGAGAAAGGTTGTTCTGCATAAACCAGAGGAGGTCTCCCTATGGCCCTGGCCCTTCTCTCCTCTTTTCTTTGCAGAATCACTCTCCCTGAGGTGGACTCCCTGCACCTCCCAAACTGAGCTTAAAACATTGCTCCAGGGATGTTCTAGAAAAGAGCTCACCCCTGAAAATTTAGTGCCTTCAGTCTGGGAGGGTGGTGGAGGGATAGGCGTGTCTCCTTTGAGACAGGGAACAGTTTGTGCCTGAAGACACCAGGCCCCCAGACACCTACTATGGTTTCTACACCCCAGCTGAGTGTGCGCTCACATCCCAGACAGAAATCTGACATGGTCTGTAAGAGAAGTCACACTGGCTTCATCTAGATGGGTGGTGTCAGGAGGGGCAGCTCTATGGGTGGGCAGCTCAGTGACCATCTAGAGACAAGGCCGCCTGCAGTGAGGGTGGAGGGGCCACTGGGGAGAAGCAGCCTCGCTGCCAGGAGCCAGCGCAGGCAGCTGTGTGGTCCTCTGGGAGCTGCGCGGGGCCCTGTGTGTGTCTGTGTTTAGAAGCAGGGAGTGGGTGTTGCTCTGTCTTCCTTGTCAGGGCCTCAGGGCAGCCGTGGCTGAGGGAACGCTCTGAGAGGTGACTTGTGTCCAGCAGGAGAGGAACCCAGCCCAGCTGTGAGCTCCGGGCCAGCTCCCGACAGCACTGAGGCCTCGTGTGTCAGACCAGTTCCCGTGGGGGCTGCTTCTCCTTCTCTCTCAAGTCCAATATCTAAAAGCATCCACCACCCAATCCACAAGTAACGCACATGAGGAAACAATGTGGAAAAGAAGAAATGCAAATGTCAAACACGTATATTTGTAATAAACACATGTGAACAAGAATCAGAATGTGGAATAAGAAAAATAGGAATAAAATTAAAATCCATCGGTTTGGGAAAGAAGAAAGGAAATGATGGGAATATCGGCCAGAAGGAGGGGAAACACACTGTGGTAAAGACGGAAGGAACTGAATGGACACAATTTCTAAAGGAAGCTTTTGCAAAAAGTCTCAGCAATTCAATGTGCTCACATTCGCTGGGCTGGTGTGCTCAGTTGGTTGAGCATCGACCTATGATCCAGGAGGTCAAAGTATGATTTCCCATCAGGGCACATGCCCTGGGGGCCACTACCATCCCCAGTAGGGGGCGTGCAGGAGGCAGCTGTTCAATGATTCTCATCATTGATGTTTCTATCTCTCCCCCTCCCTTGTCTGAAATCAATAAAAATATATTTAAAGAAATAATAAATGTGCTTACATTATGACATAGAAATGTCTTTTTTAGGCATTTATTTAAAGAAGATAGTCACACGTGTCCTGAATATATACATATTGAAGGCTGTTTCTCCTATTGTGGTTATAAACCGACAGAATAGGATGTGTGTAAGCTCTCTAACCCCTGTCACCATGGTAACTGTGGGAGGGGAGCGCTTACTGAGTCTCAGGCACTCACCCCCTGGGACCCACATGGATGGTCAAACTGACTCTGCAGCGCAAACCCACAAGACACCAGGAGAGGGTGCTGTCGGGGGGACGGGGAAGAGGAGCTAAGCGCATTGGCCACGAATTTTCAATTGTACTGTACATGAGCGCCCACACAAGGTATTTTGTGGAAGAGCCACACTCAAGGGGCCAAAGAGCCGCATGTGGCTCTTGAGCCGCAGTTTGCCGACCACTGGGCTAGACCATCTGGGTGTTAGGGCCCTTGATGTTTGCACACCCTCCAAGGCCCTGAAACACCCATTTCTCAGAGGGTCACCACCCGTAGGCGGCGCAGGAATGACTGGGAATGGATGGAAGGCATCAGAGCAGCGCGCTGTGCCCCTGAGCCTCCCAGTGCTCCCTGTCAGTTACACCTGTAGCTCTTCTAGAAGCTCCTGCGGGCTCCCTGGGCCACACTGGCCTCCCGCGGAGGAGCACTGAGCAGCGTCACTGTGAATATCACAGCAACTGCCGTCCACAAGTTAGATCATCAATAGTCACGCCCAACAGCACAGGGTCCCAGGCACTCCACAACCCTTAAAATCAGCAGCAAGGGACAAAGAGCTAGGAGGCAGGAAGCAGGACATGGCACGTCTGCATCAAGTGAGCGTCCCCTGAGGCGGGGACACAGAGAGAGAAATGGAGGGCAGCATGTGGGAGTGGTAACGGCCCCGCCAGCGTTGGGGTGCTGTGTGGCCTCTGGTCTCAGGGGAACTCACAGGGAGGCCTTGCAGGGGAGAACATGCCACAGGCCAGGGGGTGACTCTGCGGGACACGCACTGTGGAGACACCAGCTCGGGCCAGGGGGACAGTGACCATGGCCGCGGAGATGGACCCCAAGATGGCAAAGCTCATGTTACACTCCGAGTGGGAGCAGAACCCCGTGTCTACATTTCAGTGACAAAATAGAAACCCAAGGGGCACCTCTATACCTGGCACCTTCCACACTGTCTCACAGGGTTTATCCATCCCATCAGCCAAATTAGAGGGTCAACTGTGTAAAAAAAAATGCAGGTGTGAGAAGCAACTCGCTGACAACCCAGCTCCTACATTAATTTTCTCTGTAACACGACAGAGTCTCACAGAAACAGGAATGGACTAAACATACAGAAAATGGGTAAAACAACCCTTCATTCTCCAATGTGTTTATCTTTCTCTAGAAAATAACATCTCCACTCACTCAGGAGTGATGTTACCCAAGTCCAACCTCAGACATGTGCCATTGGAAGGCGGGTATTGCTCATATCCACCCTGAGATTAAATTTACATACAATCTTCAATATTCCTTACAAACAAGGAGAGAGAGAGAGAGAGAGAGAGAAAGAGAGAGAGAGAGAGAGAGAGAGAGAGAGAGAGAGACTTCTTTCAACAGCTGCACTGCTCAAAGGAAAACGTATTTCCTGAATAATTCCAAGTAACTTTATTAACCTCCTTAGATTAGGAATTGACTTGAACATCTCCCAGGGCAGCATTCGTTTCACATTGATTGTTGGGGATTTTATATGATAAATGGTATTGATGAAATGATTACTGAATAAGGATCATGATTGATGATGTCACATATTTCTCATCTCAACTGTGATTTCAAGAACCCAGGAGTTCTAGGACCCCTCAGGAGCAGCAGGGAGGGGCTGACAGGGGAGAACAGGGCCCTAGAAGGAGGCAGGAGCAGGAGGAGCCTGAACACCCATCTCTCCACACCTTGGGGTCCTATGTGCAGGGAGCCTTGGGCCTGTGGGACAATGACGGGGAACATGTACCCTGTGGTGTCAGATGGGGGCACCTAGATAGTGAAACCATAACTCACACATGAAAACAGTAACAGGCATAATATGTACAAAATCCAAGAAACAACAAACACCCAGAAGATGGGTGCTTGCGCCCCATCCAGGCATCAGCCTAGGCTAGAGCCTAGGGCAGTAATGGCGAACCTATGACACGCGTGTCAGATGTGACAGGAAACTCAGTTTTTTGGTTGCGTTTTCTTTGTTAAATGGCATTTAAATATATAAAATAAATATCAAAAATATAAGTCTTTGTTTTACTATGGTTGCAAATATCAAAAAATTTCTATATGTGACACGGCTCCAGAGTTAAGTTAGGGTTTTTCAAAATGCTGACACTAGGATCTCAAAAGGTTCTCAATCACTGGCCTAGGGGCAGTCCAAGCCCAGGAAGCCGTCGCTGTCCAGGGTCCTAGAGATGCGCTGCATTAGGACACATTTCAAGGCTTCAGTGATGTCTGAGTTCCAGTGACCACAGGTCCTGGAGGAACAAAGTTCTACTGAGGGACAAGGTCAGAGGAGCAGAGAGGTGACCCCGCCGAAGAGTGACCACGTCAAAGCCCACGATGCACTGAGCACCACATGGGCACAGGCCCCGACCACACTCGGTCTTCAAAACATCTGTCCACACCTGGGACAGCTCAGCACAGAAAACACATGAGCTCTGGAAAGTTCTTGGTGTTTATATTTATTTCCCCTCAAAATGTACAATCTTCTTGAATTTACCCACCAATCCTTCATGGCAAGAAAGGAACAAAGTCACCTCCACAACCTCATTTCAGTGTGGAAGGAACAGCTTGAAGCTCAGAATATGAGAAAGTAAAGATAGCGATAGTGAGGGCCCGCCTCTGCTGACAGGAAAGTGTGATGAGCAGGGCGGGACCAGGCCCCATCAGAGGTTCTTGAGTCAGGAAGTGGGAGTATGAACACATCTTCCATCACTCAGTCCCCACAAGGCAGCTGCCTCATGCTGTGGAGGACAAGCATCATGAACAGATTCAGGTCAGTGGCTGTAACTGGTGACATTCTCACAGCCCACTTCATGCTCACAGTGTCCCACAGACTCCCCACAACCCAGTCCTCCCCTCTGCCCACCCCTCCCCACGGCAGGGTCTCACCTTTAGAAGCCGAGAGAGACACATCAGAGCCCTGGGCACTGTCACTGCCTAGAGTGCACACTCAGTCCCCACCCTTTCCCCATCTGAGCGCCTCCTCCCCCACATCACAGCTCCAGCCACAGCTCCCAGCAGAACCAGGCCCCCAGCGATGCCCATGATGATGAAGATGAAGGTGTGAGAAGGCGGCTCTGGGAGAAGAAGGGAAGGGAGGGTGAGGGCCCTGACCCCAGGCCTCAACCCCGACCCCACTGAGGTCCCCCAGGGCCCCTGCTGCCCTGAGAAGAGGCTCTGTGCCCACGGCCCCACCTCACCCCATCTCAGGGTCAGGGGCTCAGGCAGCCCCTCATGCTGCACATGGCATGTGTATCTCTGCTCCTCTCCAGGGGGCACCCCCACAGCCGCCCACTTCTGGAAGGTGCCGTCCCCCGCAGGCCTGGTCTCCACCAGCTCCATGTCCTGGGTCTGGTCCTCCCCGTCATGCTGCCAGGTCAGGCGGATGTCCGCAGGGTAGAAGCCCAGCGCCCAGCACCTCAGGGTGACCTCAAGGGCAGAGACAGGGTGGTGGGTCACGTGTGCCTTTGGAGGGTCTGAGGGGAGGAGAGAAAATGCAGAAACTTTGCATCTGCCATGAGACACTCCAGCAGCGCCCATGTGACCATCCTGAGAGTGGACAGATACCTGGGGTGGGGGAGGGAGCACACAGGCCACACACCAGCCTGTACAGAGGCACCTGGAAAGCCCTCCTAGTCTTTAGAAAGTTCTAGACTCCGAGTGACACAGCCCAGGGCTGGAGGGAGGTCTCTGAGGGAAGAAAAGGGATTTGTGGTCCTGACCTGGGTGGAGGCCATGTGACTCAGAAAAGCTGGGGTGAGGCCTCAGACAGTGGGTGTGGGCAGCGCACAAGGCCTGAGAGAGAAGGTTCCCGAAAGTCCCAGAGACCCTGTAGGGCCCATGGGAACCGCTGATGGGCTATTTCAGGGGGGTCTACCTGCCCCCCAGGAGAGCCTGCACCCCTAACTGTGGCTGAGAGGAGGGGGATCCCTCTGGTATCTGACCTGGACATCCAGGGGGCTCCCTCCCTGACCCAAGGAGGGGTGTCTGACACTGACCCCCTGTCCTATCTCCTTGTAGGAGCCCCAGCCCCGGGGAGAGGGGGCGGCCCCAGGGCCCCTGGTACCTGCGCGCTGCAGGGTCTCCTTCCCTTTTTCCAGGTAAATGCGGAGAAACTTCATGCAGGTTCCTTCCAGGTAGCTCCTCACAAGCTCTGCCACACCCTCCGCCTCCCACTTGCGCCTGGTGATCTGAGCCGCCATGTCGGCCGCGATCCAGGAGGTCAGGTCCTCGTTCAGGGCGATGTAGTCGGCGCCATCGTAGGCATATTGACTGTACCCGCGGAGGAGGCGCCCGTCTGGTCCCATCTCACAGCCAACAATCCTCTGGATGGTGTGAGACCCTGACCCCGCCCCGCGGTCAGCCCCGCCCCGCGGTCAGCCCCGCCCCGCGGTCAGCCCCGCCCCGCGGTCAGCCCCGCCCCGCCCGCCCCGCGGGGACTGGATCTAAAACTGAAAGTGAAATCGGGTCAAAGTCCCCGCGGCTCCTCCCGGGTGGGGGCCGGGCGGGTCCCGCCGCCTCCGGGTGACGCTCGGACCCGGACCCTCGGGGCGACCCCAGCCCTTCCGTGGGGAGGGGGGTCGTGACGGGCCCGGCGCGCGGCTCACCGTCCTCGCTCTGGTTGTAGTAGCCGCGCAGGATCTCCAGGCTCCGTCGGGAAGCCTGTGCGGCTTCCTTGTTGATCTGCGTGCTCCGGTCCCAATACCCCGGGTCCTCCCGCTCCAACCACGGCTGCTGCATCCACGGCGCCCGCGGCTCCTCCCTCGGATTCGGGGCGTCGCTGTCGAACCGCACGAACTGCGTGTCGTCCACGTAGCCGACGGAGAGGAAGCGGGGCTCCCCGCGGCCGGGCCGGCTCATGGCGGTTTGGAAATACCTCAGGGAGTGGGGACCTGGGGGGCGGACGGAGGGCAGGGCCGGGGCTGGACACGCGCCTTCTCGGCCCCGCGCCCCCGCCGGGTCCCCTCGCTCCTCCCCGCACCGCCGCCGCCTCCGACCCCGCACTCACCGGCCCAGCTGGGGGTCAGGACCAGCGCCCCCGAGAGCAGCAGGAGGAGGGTGAGGGGGGGGCTCAGGATCCGCATCCTTGGTGTCCCGGGACCTTCTGAGTCACAGTGGGTCCCTGGACATATTATAACCTGGAAACAGACAGCCAATGGAAGTGTGTGATGAGGCTGCGTCATGAGTATCCGGGAAGGAGGACACAACAGGGATGTGAGATGGAGAAGGGAACCCCAGGGAGAAGGGGAACCCCCAACACTGAGCTGCTCTGCTCCAGACTCCTCCCTGATGCTGAGACCTGAGAACCAAGCCTGGCCCTGGGACTGGGCCCCGCCCTCCTCCTGCAGGGGGCGCTCTGCCCACTGTCTCCCTGAAGGAGCATCAGGCTGGTGCTCTGAGCTCCACTTCACCCAGAACATGGAGGCGGCCCATTAAAGCTGTGGAAGCTTCTAAGTGAGTAACAAGGTCCCTCACATACAGCCTCAGGCGGCCATAGGCAGGCTCAGTGAGTAGCGTCCATCAGAGGCAGGGTCTTCATGCCCCTATAGGCCCCTGACACCATGTCCCAGTACAAGCAGGGAGACTCCAGTTTTTTAAAAATCCCAGAGTCACCAAGTGTCCTTTCCCTTCAGGAGCAGTGGGTGCAGCTTATGAAACTACAGTGCAGGTGGCACAGGAAGGGGACAGTGAGTCCCCATCACCCTCAGCTCCTGCACCTCCAGGTCTGTTCCTCCTCTCACCTCCCCCCTCGCTGCCTCAGGACACTGGCACCCCCCACACTGAGTTCTCAGGACCCCGTTCCCTCATCTGTGACACGGGACGGTGACAGGACCATGGGGAGGAGCACAGGGCAGGTGGTGGGAACTCAGGCCTCTGGACCACACAGCTCCGACCTGGAGTCAAGGTCACTCAGGAGTGAGCTCAGTGCTGCCTGGGGATGTCGCTTCCCACTCTGCGCCTCTGCTTCCCCCTGGGAGAGAGAAAAGTGGACGTTAATACAGAGCAGAGGTCAGGGGTGCTGTGAGCACCATGTGCCCTTCACGCTCACTGTGCTCACTCGGCTGCGACATGTGAGCCCTCACACAGAGTTCATAGGAGGAGCAGAGGCCACGGTGATGGTAGATGTGACTGGTTTCCTTGTGGGATCATCTGTGGCGACCTGGGATGAGAGGATAAAACATTACAATGTCCAATGGGAAGAACAGACCCGGCAGGTTACACCAGGCAAACTATTTGACAAAGAGAGATGATCTCTCCAGCAATTCCTCTCTCTCGCTTTGCTGCCTCACACACACAAAGTCACTCTCACCCTCACACAATAGGGAACACAGAGGGAAATGAGCCCCCAATCTCCCAGGGATCCGGAGACAATTGCAGCCCAAGGCAGGTATCAGGAGGAAACACACATGGTCCTGATATCACCGGGCCAGTGTGGCTCAGTGGTTGGGCATCCACCCATGCACCAAGGAGATGGCCAGTTCCATTGCCAATTGGGCACATGCCTAGGTTGCAGCTCAGTCCCCAGGGGGGTGCATTACGGAGGCAGCAGATGTGTCTCATCAATGTTTCTATCTCTCTCTTTCTCTCCTTCCGCTCTCTTTAAAAATCAATGAAACATATTTTTAAGTGGACTTTATATCATGTTATTATACCACAGATGACGATTGTGGGTGAATATCTGTGCATGTGTGTGTGTGAATGGACCTTATTTTATGTCAGAATTTTAAAGTAATCACCCAAATTCTACACATCAATTTCATCCATTTTACTATGGTTTTCACACCCAAGCCTCAAGCTCGGCCAGGTCTGAGAAGATTAGCAGACCCTTGTGCACATGGCTGAGGAGCTCAGTGGCCCTGGCCATCCTACCCTCGTCTCAGATCCCAAAGGGAGCCCCGTGCTCGGGTCCCTCACTGACGGGGACTCTAGGACACAGAGAGGTGCAGGAAGCCCAGTATTGGCAGGAATTCCACCCTGGGACACCCCCCAGCACATGCCCCCCCCCCCGCCAGCAGAGAGATCAGAAGCAGCTCAGACACGGGGGGGCGGGGGGGGCAGCGCCTGTCCTGCCCGATGGGACGACCCACCCCAGTTCCATGTCCCCTCCTGGAACCTCCCTCCTCTCCTGATTTCTGCCCTGAGGTCAGACACAAGGAAGACCTCACCTGGCTGTTCTTTGCTCTCGAGCTCTGGGCAGGGATGTGTCATTGAGGATGAGCCGGGTTCCCTGAGCCTACAGTTATAGGGACAGGGTTCATGAACCTGATCTTCCCACAGAGATGCCATTATCATGTCACCTGAGGCGTAGGGGACACTGTCTGTGTGGAGAGTGTGGTACATCTCCAAAGAGGAGCGACCTGATCCCCACTCAAATCTGTCCCAGCCACTGCGGTGATTATTGGTAATTTGGCCATTAATTTGTCCAATAGAGAAGGGAAACCCCAGGGAGAAGGGGAGTTCCTGGCACTCCTGAGTGGGCCTGAGGGTGAGTCACTGAGTGAGCTGGAGGACTCCTCCCCGTCCTGACCAGCAGAGCATTCTGACATGGATCCCATTGTGTGGAAAGCCAGCCCCATGGATTCCTGCGCCTCCACCGGGTTTGTGGGAAGCCAGCCCCAGGCCTATGGGATAATCTCCTACATCTGATACATCTAGACCTTCCTTCCTGCTGGCTGTCCTCCTGGCCCTCACCAGCAGCTGAACGATGGGCAGGAAAAGGTGTCTGTTCCCTGTGGATGGTCTAAGTTCCAAATCAAAGCTGTACTACGAGCTGAACTGAAAGCCAAGGCTGCATCATGTTCCTCCTCCTCCATTCATTGCACAGTCACACACCATTCCCAAGTGGGCACCATCCTCAGGGCTCCCCTGGTGCCAAGGTCAGGCTGACACCAGGATGGGCGCAGGCTGAGCATCTCCACTGGGTCAGGAAGCTGGTCTCTCCCCTGAGGGAAATGCCACGGTCCTTCCCATGGGGCTCCAGGGATGTTAAGCATGGAGACTGTCCCAGGTGAGCTGTGCTAACCCGCTCAGAATCCTGGGAGTCCCTAATGTCCACACAACCCCACAGGGACCATGATGTGCTTCCTTAGTCACCCACACAGTCCTGCTCTTTGGTGACTCACTACACAACCACTTCTTCTTCCTCTTCTTCCTCTTCCTCTTCTTCCTCCACTTCTACTTCTGCTTCTTTTTTTGAGGTTTTGCTCTGGAAAGAATTATTCTTGACATACAGACAGGATTCAGGGAAAGTAATAATTAGGACAGACAGAGAGATACCCTCAGAATCTGAAATAGAGAAAGGACCTGAACAAATAGGAAATTGGGTGAAATTACAAAGATAGAATTTTAAAAATAAATGGAAAGATGAAGGATCACTTGCCCAGAGAGATGTGGACAAATCCCATGGATATTGTGGATTTTCACAAGGTGAAGGTGGGAACAACAACACTCACAGAACATTCCAGTCCTCGGCGGACCCTCTTCATTTCTATTTGGTCACACACTGCCCCCATCCCGACTCACCCCTGACTAGATTGCCACACCACAGGTGAGTTCCATCAGCTTTTGAGGGACGGAATGTTACAGTGGCCTCCTCCCTTTACCTGGCTCTGTCTCTACATTATGTCCCATTCTCCTTCCTGTGGCTCTTGTGGTTGTAGCGTCTTCACTCTTAGGGCTACAAGGGTTCTGTCCTACGAACACACCACACTCCTTCTCCTCTACTGGTCATGTGCATTTGTCTTGTATGAAGATTTTACAAACTGTGCAGCTATGAATAAGTTCTTCATGTTTTTGCACACATTTGTGTGAGTGTCTACTGGGGATACAACCAGGAGTGGAAATGCTGGGGCATTGGGTGAGCGAATGATTGGATGTAGTGAGAGCTGCCAAGCCATTTTCAGAGCATTTGAAACAACTTACTCTCCCACTAGGTATTTATGGGAGATACAATGAGTCCAAATTCCTGCTAACATTGATTTTGTCTATTTCATTTTTGCTATCCTGGGAGGTGGGCAGCAATATCACATTGTGGCTGAACTTGAATTTCTCCTCTAACTAAACCTGTTGGGCAATTTTCATAAATATATGGACCATTTAAACATCCTCAGTAGGAGGTGGAATGGACTCTTGTTCATGAGTGAGTGGGCTCTAGTAAGGTGCCAGCATCCTTAACTATTGGGGCACTTTGGCTATTAATGGGTCTGTGGGCAGAGACCTGTGAGATGAGAGAAAGTGCCTGGTCTCTGCCCCTGGATCCTGGCACTGAGCTCCTAAAAGCCTGGGCATCTCCTGAGTGACAAGTGTCTTTGGGACGCTAATGAGATGGCCCTTGGATGAGGGTCCTAGAGGCTTCAAGGTGGGGGCTGGTCCACAGAAAGACCAGCTGATCAGAGGGTTGGAACGTTCAGGTCCGACAAGGAGGCAAAAGCAGGAGGAGCCTGAAAATGCATCTCTCCAACCACAGAGTCCTGTGTGCAGGGACCCCTAGGCCTGCGGGACAATGATGGGTAACATGTACCCTGTTGCTGTCAGATGGGGGACACAGAGAAAATGAGACCACAACTCACACATAAAAACAGTAACAGGCATAATATCTACAAAAACAATGAAACAACAAACACCCAGAAGATGGGTGCTAGGGCCCCATCCAGGCCTGAGCCCAAGCTGACCAACCCCAGGAAGGCGTCGCTGTCCAGGGTCCTGGAGATGCGCTGCATTAGGACACCTGAAAAGGCCTCAGTGATGTCTGAGTTCCAGTGACCACAGGTCCTGGTGGGACAAGGTTCTACTGAAGGGATAAGGTCAGAGGAGCAGAGAGGTGACCCGCCGAGGAGTGACCATGTCAAAGCCCACGATGCACTGAGCACAACCTGGGCTCAGGACCCGACCACACTCGGTCTTCAAAACATCTCCTGTCCACACCTGGGACAGCTCAGCACAGCAAACACATGAGCTCTGGAAAGTTCTTGGTGTTTATATTTATTTCCCCTCAAATTTTACAATCTTCTTCTTGAATTTACCCACCAACCATTCATGGCAAGAAATGAACAAAGTCACCTCCACAAACTCATTTCAATGTGGAAGGAACAGCTTGCAGCTCAGAATACGA